TTTATAAAATTGGTTCGGCCCTCGAACGCAGATCTGATTTTCCATGTGGCCCCCGACAGAAATTAATTGCCCACCCCTGCCCTAAAGAGTAGAAACTCCAGAAGCAGAAACTCACTGCCACCTTTTTTAATGGGTGGGCATTAAAGCCTGGGCCAGAATATTTTACGTAACAAAGATATCCAGGTAGTCCTATTGAAATTGCCCAAAGCCCTTTCATTACATCATCATCCAGCAAGGCTCAACCAAGCCTGGAAGTCAGGTGAAGCCAGACAAAGCCTACAAAGTTAGCTAAGACTGCAGCCCCTGGTAGTCTGACAGCCAATGGGATACATTTCTTGCTCAGGAACAGGAAACACTAAGGTGGGGCCCAACAGTATATAAGGGTCTCTCCGCATCTTGGCAGCTTCTCCCTTCACCCAGCATTTTGAAGCATGTGATCATCCTTTTCATTTTGGAGCTCCAAGCCATGTGGTCCTGTCTGCCATTAAACCATCTTTCCAAACAGCCTCCATATTTCCAGTGTCTTTTTCCCCACTTGGAACTAAACCCAGAACATTTCTTCCAACAGTATTAAATAATTCGGGTCTTACATCTCACAATAGTTTCAGTCTTATTTAATGCGACATGTTCAGGCGTGCCCCATTTTTATACGGCTCTTGAGTTACATTATATTTTATATCTCAGCAAGAGACTCGTGGGCGAAGAACTTGTTTATATTCATGAATGCTACACTGCCTGCTTTGGAAGGGAAGATGTTGCTTTATGCGGGAATGGCTGGAGAGTTCTGGGAGTCGAAGTCTACACATTTTAAAGTTGCTGAGAATGAGAAATACTGCTCTGTCCTACACTTTTGCCTTTTTGTTTCTTATTACTATCTTCACTTACCACTTGCTTATTTGTTGTGTTAGTTTCCGGTAATTCCAGAACAGTTAGGTTTTGTTTATAACATACCACTTCCAAAACTGCAGTTGTGTGCGGCAAAGGCCAGCAGCTCGAGTAGGATATTTGAAATCATGTTTTTAAATTAATATAAGACTATGTAATTATGAATCGCTAGAGAGTTCAGTTTCCATTATTCCAGCATTCAGAATAGTGGGATTTTTCTCCTAAGTTTTATCCTGCAATTCAATAATTACAAAATTCCATAGCTTAACGGTGTCTTTTGGTTGAGAATAGTAAACATTGCCTATCTGAGTCCTTTTTAATTCTTAGAGCAACCAGGAATATATAGCACATGGTATCTGTGTTCATAGGTAATTCCCCTCCCCCCATGATATCCCAATAGCTTTCTATATGGAAAGGGTTTTTTCTTTTTTAACTGGATAAATATTTTGTTTGTCCCTCCATTTTTGTTATCTAAGCTGGTATAGATCAGAAAAAGTCTTATTAAAAGTGGAAAAGTATAGAGGAAACAGATATTTTTAAATAACAAACTTGAATATCCTGTTTTGCAAACCAGTGATACAGCCCTTAAAAATATCTGATCTTAAAATACAATTAATACAACAAATTATGTGTACTGGGCATCTCGCAGAACGCTTAGTAAAGGCAAATTATGGTTGTCGTGCTATTAGGATTTGAAGAGTTGAAATGTTAACTAGTATAGTTAATATACTAATTCTTTTTGGTGTAGATTTTTAAGATGAAAACAGTTTTGCCGATGCAAATATATAAACTTTCACCATTCTTCGTAATAGATGAATCATGAATAATATTATAGAGCTATTGTAATTTGATTCTTTGCTGAGTGTCTATCCAAAAATCTCATTAAGGTATAAATTATTGCTGGAGTTCTAGGACAGAAATACACAAGTAAAATTACAAGATATTCTTTTTATAGAATAAAATTGTTTTTATTTTTGCTATTATACTAAAATGACATGGTCTTACCCCTGGTAATTTAAAAATGGATGTTTTGACAGGTGTATTGTAATTAATTGTACTAAGAATGGCATTTATGTCCTCCAAAGATGATCTTCAATACCTTTGATTCAATACCTTTATTTCTGGAAATTAACCATAGTCAAGACATTAAGGAGGATTTTCTTCTTTAAATAAAAGTGAGACTTTGCACTGGTTGTGTTACCAAAAGTGTGAGATGATATATCATAATCTTCTTTAACCTTATATTTTTGGGATGTGTTGAATCACTGTTTCCATATCCTCAGCTAATAGTTCAACACATTTGTAAAACATCTGTAAAAGTTGGAGAAAGTTAACCATATGAACTAGTGAAGGAACGTGGTGATCTCCATTTTCCAAATTTGTCATGCAAATTATTAAAATGCTTACCTACATGTATTGAGAGGACAATAGGCTTGGGGAATATTTTCAAGCATCAAAATATTATAGGCTATTCCCAACTTGAAAACAATACTGCTGCACTGTTTTTGCAGCAGCATCCTCACAGAGCCATATAGTGAGAAATCATTTTTAATAACATGATTTGGGAGATCTTTAAGGGATATTAGGGCTATGGATTATCCCCCAAATGTTTTAAAAAGACATTGGGGAAATCACATTTGTATGGCTGGCAAGAAAAGCTCACGGCATTACTGGAACAATATCTGATCTGAAAGAAACTTATTTATCGTCATAGAGTGCAGGACATCATTAACATACAATGTACATTACTTTGTGTTCCTTTTCCTGCTGCAATATTCTATAAATTTTAAAATACATCACTCATAGGTTTCTATCATCACCAAATGCAAAAGGGAGAAAACTGGAATGTTAAAAGAATAGGCAACTCAGTTATGAACTAGCCCAATATGAAGCTACTTTTATCAGACAGGTTTTATTTAAAGACCTAATTATTTTCTGTATTGCCATCCTAAAGATTTATTTTCTATAAACAGCAACCATTACCTCTTGTTTCTGATAAATAGAAGAAATAGTGAACCTTGAAATACATTCGAATTTACCTGTAGGCCAGCAGCCTTTCCTTATCCATTCTTCTATTCTGCCCTATACAGGTTTGAGAACTGTATAAACAGCTGCCTTAAAATCACCAGAAGTCACATGGAGGGAATCTGTTTATTTTATTTACAGACATGCTGGATGTGGGGGAGGAGAGTTTGTAGATCCTTTTTAGTGTTTTTAAATATATACAGTACTTCTGTAAGCCTCTGTTTTTCCACACACTGGTACTTCTCAGCTAATTTTGGTTCCTTTTATTATTGAAATTTGTATTTATTATTTATTATTGAAATTTGTATTCTCTAGACTAATCAAAAGCCTCTGGACAGTTCAAATAGTGTTGGCATC